ACCTGTTGGAATTTGTGTGGAAAAGATATTTCCATTTACAGATAAAAGTCTAATGGAATCAACCATCAGAAGTGCTCCCCCCATCAGGCCTGCAGAGAAAGCAGCTTACACCTTTCTTTTGGGGTTAATTGGTTTAGGAGAGGCTGCAGATTTTTGTCACCAAACATGAGTGTCACTTCACCTCATTTCCTTTGCACAAAAGACATCTTCAAGGATTGAGAAGTAAACTTATTTAGTGATATATGATGTGGAAAATTTAGGTTTAAATTATCTGTTTTTACATGATCTGAAATGAAAACTTTCCATATGTTTAAGCCATGAAAAGAATTGCAGAGCTTGCCCAGAAGCCAGTAATAACAAGTCATGTCAAAAAAATCTTTTCTCTCAAGTAATAGCATGATGTGTGGTTGGTAGAATGCCAGTTTTTGTTCTGTTATCAAACAATGTAAGCAAAATACCTTAATCAACTTTGAACACTCAAGTATGTATGTATTAAAATTGTGTTATCTTCTTCCTTAAAATGCTGACTTCTGAAGGAAAATACTAGCTGAAAGACTGTTGGTGGCTGTGTGCTTTACTTTGTTTGAAATGTCCCCAGCCAGGATGAGTGAATGGGTGTATTTTTTATTGTTTCTTTTCAGGTACTTTTAGAGGTCCCTCTATTGCAGAACAGTTCAGTCTGATAAGATACTTACGGGCTTGTGTTTCTTTTTCTTTTGCATTGTTCTCTTTGAAACAGAGTGAGTTCTGCAGTGACAAACCTAAGTCTGGTGCAAAATATGGGCTTCCAGATTCACTGGCTATTTTGTCAGAGATGGGAGAGGTCACAGAGGGAATGATGGACGCTAAGGTAAACCTGAATGAATGAATACAAATACTCCTTGGTAATCCTGGCATTTACAGCTTGTGTGTTCTAAAAAAGTTTAAAGGAAAAATTAAAGGGGAAAGTTCATGTCTTTGTCAGTTCACTGTGGCAAGCTCAGCACAGCAATTTCCTGAGTGATACATAGAACCATAGAACGATTTTGGTTGGAAGGGATCTTAAAAATCATCCAGTCCTAGTCCCCTGCCATGGGCAGGGAACCTGGCAAGCCCCTATGGAGTGGGTAGGCTGCAGCTGGATTGGTGTTGGGAAAAACTAAGCCCTGTTTCTCTTTCAGATGATCCATTTCCTCACACACTACGCTGACAAGATCGACTCTGTCCAATTCTCGGACCAGTTCTCCGGTCCAAAACTTATGCAAGAGTAGGTACAAAGGCTGAGCTCTCCTGGGGCTGGTGGTCAGCTGTGCCTCAGCAGTGCACAGCCAGCAGCTCTGCTGCTTCCCTGAGCCTCCTAGGCCAGAGGTGCTTTCAGGGGCTGCTTCAGAATTGCCAAGTGGTGGGTGATGTGTCTTATCTGAATTACCACGTAGGTTTTTGCACATGCCTGTGTATTGTGCTCACAGGCATATAAATAAATGAACAAAAAGGGACACAGTTTGATTTAATTATAAGAAAGCTTATGTGTATACCTTGTACTAAAATTGTTGAGGATCTGTGAAAAGTAAGCCTGAGATTTTCACATTAAAATACTGTGGGATTTTAGGCAGTGAATACTTAAACTCTTGAGAAAATATTTTCTCCTAAAATATTTAGAGATCTTTAGTGGTATAAACAACAAGGGGGTGTGTGAAGCTGAATGTAATTCAAAACATACAGGCCTTCTTAGTGCTCTCCTGGCCTCTTCACATTTAGAGGGGCTGGTGCTGTATGTTTTCACATTCATGCCTTTTCTCTGCAGGCTTTTGGGTAAAACACTTGGGGAATCTGATTGGTTTGAAACTTAACTTTGGGTTATAGCCAGGCTTTTAATGTTTATTTTTTTTCAAGTACTTTCCAAGTGTCTTTGGTTCTTGATGGTTTTTTGGACCAATGTTAGTTACTTTGTGTTTTTCTTCACTTTTTCCAAACACTTGTTTCTTTCCTCCAGGGAGGGCCAGCTTACAAAACTGCCCGAAACTAAAAAGACACTTTTGTTTACATTTAATGGTAAGGGCTCTGTTGTCTGTGTGTGTCTGGGGGAGTGTGTGGCTTTATTTGGGTAAGTCACATGCTCACCATCTGTCACCTGTGGAAGATAATGTGTGATGAGTGATTTCAGTGCATTTAGCAGGACCATTGATTGACAAACAGAAGGCAGCAATACACTGGGGGCTGAGTAGCATGTTGTCACAGTAACAGGACACTCAGTCTTGCTGTTACTGACCTCAGCTCACACTTCCTCTCAGGGTGGTTTGTTTTTAAACCACAAGCCTTGCAGTTTGAACTTGCACAGGCTCAGTTGGTTTACCCTGGTTTGAAATAAAAGTGATCTGTTGGGAGAGCTCTAGAAAAGAATAGATCTTCAAATCTCTTCAAAATGGAAGCCTATAGCTCTAAATGAAGCTTCCTACAGAGCAGAATAAGAGCATCTTTATTTCATGAACAGTGTGAGCCATAAGGGAAGAGCCTCACAGCAAGCAGATGAGTTCTGCCAGTCTGTGTGAATGAACAAGGAACTCTTTGTTTCAGTGCCTGGTTCAGGCAACACTTCCCCAAAGGACATGGAGTCTTTGCTGCCTCTGATGAGCATGGTTATCTACTGCATCGACAAAGCAAAGAAGTTCAGGCTGAACAGAGAAGTAAGTAGTGCCTGGTTTTCTGTCTTGTGACATTGTGTGGAGCTGGAACCATCCCCACTGGCTCCTTAGGGATCCACTGGATCCTTCTGTGTGGAGCTGGAACCATCCCCACTGGCTCCTTAGGGATCCACTGGATCCTTCTGTGTGGAGCTGGAACCATCCCCACTGGCTCCTTAGGGATCCACTGGATCCTTCTGTGTGGAGCTGGAACCATCCCCACTGGCTCCTTAGGGATCCACTGGATCCTTCTGTGTGGAGCTGGAACCATCCCCACTGGCTCCTTAGGGATCCACTGGATCCTTCTGTTCCTCTACGACTGGCAGAGACCCTGCATGCTGCTTGTGGGGAAATCAGTACAAACTGCCTTTGCTTTTCTCTCTGCAAAGGGTAAACAAAAAGCTGACAAGAACAGGGCTCGGGTGGAAGAGAACTTCCTCAAGCTGACCCACGTGCAGAGGCAGGAGGCTGCCCAGTCCCGCCGGGAGGAGAAGAAGCGCGCGGAGAAGGAGCGAATCATGAACGAGGAGGATCCCGAGAAGCAGCGGCGGCTGGAGGTGAGGAGGGGTCCATGCTGCTGGCAGATCCCTCCTAGGAGATCTCCAGGGCTGCCTGGAGCTGTAGTAGCAGTGGCAGCTTTGATTTCTATTTGCTGCTCCTTTCTGAAGCACGTGAAGGGTCCGGGTGAGCTGTGAACCCCGCGCTGGAGGGTTTTGTTTGGTTCTGAAAGGATCTGCTTGTTCCTTGAAGAGATTGCCTGTGTTGAGTCACATCCCTGTCCTTGCCTACAGGAAGCTGCTCTGCGGCGTGAGCAGAAGAAGCTTGAGAAGAAGCAGATGAAGATGAAGCAAATCAAAGTGAAAGCCATGTGACTGTGCTGTGAGAAGTGTCTCGGTGCCGCCTGTGGAGCTGTAACTCACGGGGTACAAAGACCTACGTAACTCCATAACCCTCTGACTCCTTGAACACTAGTAACCATTAAGAGAAAAGGTCTTGCATTGGTGTTACTTATTTAAGTATTACAGCAAAATGTGTGGAGAGCTTTGTCTCGGCAGTTCTGTTCCAGGTGGTACAAAGTTTTGCTACTTGTCTGTTAAAAAAAAATTTGCAATATTCTCGAATGCTTTTTGTCATTTGTTCTTTAAAAACAGAAGATTGTAAACCTGTCCATGCGTGCTGGTAACATATTCATACTTTGGTTTTAAACTTTGGTTTTAGTTATTGTGAGGGAAAGGGGAAAAACTTAGGGGGAGGCAAACTGCACAATAAACATTTACTGTGTGCATTTATTTGCATCAAGGCACAACACTTAGAGCCTTCCATACACAGTATGGATTCTTCAGGGATTTAAGCCCAGTAAAATATAAGTTCTAATAGAAGTAGAGATTTTTTTATCTTCATTTTTTTTTTTTACAAACAAAGGCCTGAAGCAGTATTAGGTCACCTGTGGGCATGATTGGCTTACGTGTAAAACACAGAGATGGTTAGAACCAAGGGGATGGAATACATGGACACTTCCTACTTGTGTGTTTGGATGCTGCAAACTTAACACAGTGTGGAATCTGTGATGTCAGCACAGTGTTCCTTCAGGAACGAGTTCAGCCAGCTTTCCTTCAGTACTTTTAACAGTTCAAGTTTGCCTCAACCCCTTCTCTCCTGATCTCAGCAGCTGCTGCCCAGTTCACTTCAGCCAGGAGCCAGATCTAGTGGAGTACCTGCAGTTCCTGATCTCCCCAGGGCAGTGAAAACGTTTCAGAGGGTGTTCATCCTCTTCAGTGATCTCTTCAGGGTTTTGAATCTAAATGGGAAGAATGAAGTGAATGCCCTGTGCAAGCACTTCGCTGGGAGAGCTCTGCATTTTATAAATGCTTCCTGTCCAGAAGGCATTTTATTGTTGCTTGTAATAGACTTTTAACCGTTTTGTGGGGAAACAATTGTCCTGCATTTTCTTGTTCAATACTTCATGGAAACTTGGTTCTGAGGCAATAAGAATTAGCTGCTGTTGAAACAGCAATTGCTTAAACTCCTTATTCCAGCATGGGATACTTCACCCTGATTGAAATGCAAATGTCTGTAACCTGATACATGCAAATACATTAATTTTATAATGGTTGGTAAAATTATTTAAAACCAAAACTAATGTAGATTATGTGAAATTTTAGCACTATTTAGCTTTAAAGATTAATATGTTATTGTTTCACAGAGTTCTTTGAAAGGAAATACTAGTTTGTGCTCTTTTGAGTAAGCAGACAGCTTTCCTGAAGTCCCATCCAGTTGTGGGCCATGGCAGCTAATTTTGTAATACAAACATTGAAATGAACAATCTAATGAAGAGTAAAATATAATTGAAACACTCCTGCTTTACTTGGCTTGTCTCGGTGTTCCTTTCATTCAGCAGGCTCTGGAGAACACCTCCCAGAAGGTCCAAGCTGTGAGCAATCCCCCCTTGTCACCCAGCCCCAGAGCACTCAGTGTCACATCCAGTTGTTCCTTGGACACCGCCAGGGGTGGGGACTCCAGCAGCTCCTTCCAGTGCTTGTCTGTTAAAAAAAAAAAAAACAATATTCTCGAATACTTTTTGTCATTTGTTCTTTAAAAACAGAAGATTAAGAACCCCTTCTGTGAAGCAATTCCTCCTGATGTCCACCCTGAGCCTGCCCTGGCCCAGCCTGAGGCCGTTCCCTCTGCTCCTGTCCCTGTTCCCTGGAGCACAGCCCGGCTGTCCCCTCCTGTCAGGAGCTGTGCAGAGCCACAAGGGCCCCCTGAGCCTCCTTTGCTCCAGGCTGAGCCCCTTCCCTGCTCCCTCAGTATCCTTTTAAAGTGAGGGAACCCAGCACTTGAGGGGAGGCCTCATCAGTGCCTGGCACAGGGGGGGTCGATCCCTGCTGACCACACATTTTGACAATCCAGGTGCCATTGGCCTTGCTGCCCACCTAGCTGCCTGTCAGCCAGCACCCCCAGCCCTTTTGCAGCGGGTTTCCTTCGCAGCCCGCAGTGCCGCGCGGCTGGATGTGGCCAGCGCTCAGACCCTGGCGCTGCCCGCTGAGGGAGCCAACATGGCGCCGCCTCCTTCCCCGCCGCTGGCGGGAGCTCCGCCCGTGACGTCACGCCCGCGCGTCGGCGCGGTGACGTCACGCGCAGCGTCTCTGGCCGGTGAGCGGCGGCCGCAGCCTGAGGGGTCCGTGAGGGGACGGGGGGCCCGGGGCCGTGAGGGAGGGCTCCGCACGGGTGAGGGGCCCGGGGCCGTGAGGGAGGGCTCCGCACGGGTGAGGGGCCCGGGGCCGTGAGGGAGGGCTCCGCACGGGTGAGGGGCCCGGGGCCGTGAGGGAGGGCTCCGCACGGGTGAGGGAGCCGGGCCTGGGGAAGGAGCGGGGCTGTGCGGGAGGGCCCCGGGCCCAGGGACGGAGCGGGGCTGTGCGGGAGGGCCCCGCACGGGTGAGGGAGCCGGGCCCGGGGATGGAGCGGGGCTGTGAGGGAGGGCCCCGCAGGGTGAGGGACCCGGGCCTGGGGATGGAGCAGGAGAGCCCCGCACGTATGAGGGACTCCGGGGGTATCGCCGCTCTGGGGGGCTCCGTGCAGTTCTTACCGGCGTTACCGCTGTCCTGCGGGAGAATTCGGGGGTGTCGGCGCTTTGTGCGGGTACCGGGTGGTGCTTAGCGCTCCCCCGGGGCTGGCCGGGGGTGACGCGGCGCTGTGCCCGCAGGTGTGCCGCCCGTTCTGCTGCGCGTGTCCCACAGCGGCGGATCCATGTCTTTCCTTGTAAGTAAACCCGAGCGCATTAGGGTGAGTGTTGAAGACCTTCCAGCTTCCCTCGTGTTCGGTAGAACGAGTCTTGCGTTTGTGCAGAGCGGCCGGGCCTGGAGAGCACCAGAAGGGCACAGGAAAACTGATTCAAGGGTTGGTGACAGGACATGGCTGGGTGTGCAACCAGTGCTGGTTAAAAACCCTGCACTAAAGCCCTTATTGCTGCCCCACACCCCTGTATCTCCTTGGGGTGTGGTGCAGAGGGGCTCTAATGGGCTTTGCAGTGAGGAAAAAGGGCCATAAAGCTGCTTATTTTCAGTTGTTCTTAAAGAAATAGCCTCCTCACCTGTGTCACAGTTTATGGTTTTTTTTTTCTTCACTTTGCTTCCAAACTAACCACAACAGCTTTGTTTGATTCTGCTTTTCAGCAGAAAATGAGGGAATTTCCAGCAGCAGAACCACTTCTAGTGCATTCAAATGGTATTTTTACATACAAGTTTTGAGTCCTCATCACCTAAAGACTCCTTGGTGCTTTCTAGGACCGGCCTCTCGAGCACTAAACAGCAGCTGTTTGTTAAACTATTAAACTGTTTTGCTAAGTAGCAAATTCTGCCATGGGATTGTTTGTGATTGATGATATAACCAAAACATTTGAATTCTCAGAGATACCACCTCTTTCCAAATAGTGAAAGCATTTTTTTTAAACCTCTTACACCTAAAAAGCCAAGTTTTATTTGGCTGTGTGAGGGTGTTGTTGCATACTGATGATTTTTGCTGTATGTGCATGTATGAAAACTTGTTGGAATGAATTAAATTATATTAACTTTCTTGCAAGTGCATGTTGATTTGGAATAACAGCAGCACCTGTGTGGTTGCTGGGTGCATGTCATTGGCCCAAAAAGGGAATATCTTGCCCAAAATAAGGATGTCACTGGTGATACAGCAAATCAGTTTCAGACCACAGCAGAATCACTGAAATTTGGGTTTTTTTTTTCTTGTGGGGAAGGGGAAGAGAAACTTTTCTCTAGATGGAATAACTGATTATGTGGAGAATTTTTATTTCTTTCAGCGGTGGGTGTCTGAGAAGTTCATTGTAGAGGGATTAAGAGAGTTCGAGCTGTTTGGAGGTAAGTTTTCCTCTTGTTAAATGGCATTGCTAGAAATGTTTTATTTTAGCTGTAAAACTTGGTAATTTGGTAGTAAAGGTGTACTTTATCACTAAAAGATTATTAAATCTCATTGTAAATCCACATCTTCAAGCTGTCTAAGCCCAGTAATTTAACATGGAAGTGTCCAAGATGTAGCAAGTTATTTGGAAATCATAAGAGTTCTAAGATAGTTCTGTATTGCTTAGCATCACCACATTTTTTTTCATATGCAAAAGATGGATTTGGGCTTGGGAAGGTTAATTATAATTTTCTGAGTGAAAATGGATTTTGATGGCTCCCCAGGAGGAGGAGCTGACAGGTTTGTGCTCTGCTTCTGCATAACAAATAGAATTGCCCACTAGGATGCAGAATTCCTGCTCAATGGCATGGAAAACAAACAGAGCATAAGGAAATATGTCCAGATTTTGAGCTTCCAGGTGGAGTAAAGGAATTTTTATAGCTTTAAATAATATTAGGTAGTTTCTTCTCTATGTAAGAGTCATCTTTAAATGTGTTTACAATCATAGAATTGTTCAGGTTGGAAGGGACCTTTAAAGATCACCAAGTCCTACCCCCCTGCAATAAGAGACATGACAGAAGGTTAATACTTAAAGTTCAGTAAAAAAAAATTGTCACCTTACATTTATGTCAAATATACAAACAGTAGCACTTTGTGAATCTCTGATCCTGTACATGTGCTGCAATTTTGTGTGCAAATTACATATCTTTCAATAAAACAAAAAAAATTATGTATGTTTGATACTGAAAAGGCTCATCCAGGGTTATTGACTTAGTTTTCCAACTATATTTTAATGGGTATCTGTTGAACAATTAATTTCTTTACTCCAGAGCAGCCTCCGGGTGACTCTCGGAGAAAAGTAAGTGACTTGTGCAGGCTGTGGTGCTGTGGTTCATTGCATGGAGATTATTCCTTGTGGAAGTTTGATTTTTCTTTTTATCTTAGTTCTATATCTCATCTCTATATTTAGCTCTACAAGTGTGGAAACAGGTTTCACCCTGGAGTGGAGATTTTGGTGTGTGGTTTTCAAACTATATGAGATAACTCAAAAATTTAAACTTAATCTCTTGGATTTCTATTTGTTTGTCATTCTCCTCCCCCCAGCCCCTCTCTTTTTTGAGGTGATTTTGTTCTGATCCTTCAGAGAAGGAAGGAAGAGTTTAGTTTTATGGAACTCCTGAAAAGTGTTTGTTCTGCAGGCCCTGACTGCTCACTGTCTGGTTCATAATGAGCATGCAACACATAAAATATCACAATTAACAATAGAGTGTCTTAATCTAAATGATTCCCCACCTCCCCACACCACAGGTGTGCAGCTGTTGCTGTAGTTTAAGCTAATTACAAACACAAGTTAAGTGTGGTTTGATCATAACTGTGTCAGTTCAAGCTGCTTATAATTGATTTTTGTGCCAGTGTCTGTAATTTACTGGCACAAACAAAGCTGAAAATAGGAGAGTATATGGAATGTTTTATATAAAATTGAGTAAATTCACACCTTTTTTCAAATTGCTGAGTGTTAGACATGCTTGGCTGGAAGCAAATTGATTAGCATCTGTTTTGGTTATTTCCAAGGGTTTTCTTGGGATTTAGATACATCCTGATTCTCATTTTGATCTTAAATAGGAGAGTATATGGAATGTTTTATATAAAATTGAGTAAATTCACACCTTTTTTCAAATTGCTGAGTGTTAGACATGCTTGGCTGGAAGCAAATTGATTAGCATCTGTTTTGGTTATTTCCAAGGGTTTTCTTGGGATTTAGATATATCCTGATTCTCATTTTGATCTTTTTATGTCTAAATTAAATTTTTTTTTTTTTCTACCAGGGCTGTAGAGAAGGGCACATAGTTTAGGGAGGGGGGTGGGAGGAGAATTTTTGTTGCTTTTGCTGAAGTCAGGGAGGGAGTGAGGAGATGGAGGGGAAGACAGCAGAACAAAACTGATATTCCTTCTTCCTGACTCAGATGAATGTCATCTGGCAAATGCAGATCCTTGCAAGCATCACAGAAGTGATTGTGTTATGGCATTTATACCAGTAGTTGCCTTTCAAAGATTAATTTCCTTTAAATCTATCTCAAATTAAACTGGACTCCCAAGCCAAAAGCCAGCTCTAAATGAATGTCATGCCATAAAACTGGTCACATGGGACTTCATTTTGCAGCTGCTTTTGACCATACACCAAAAATTGTCCTGTGTGAAACCACTGAGGAGCTTTTTTTGCAGTACCTCATAAATGACATTTCAGTTTAACTTTCTTTTTTTTAAACTGTTGTATGATGTTGATAAATCTCTGGTTGAGCTCCTTTTGCATTAACTCTGTTATTGGTCACTGCTAACATGAGGAGAGGTGAGTGAAGACCTCAAACTGGAAGACTTTTTCAATAGGGAATTCACAGTATTTTTTCCATTACTGCACAGCCTCCACCATTAATAAGATTAAATTTATTTAATTCTTTGCATCTGTTTTGTTGGCTTATGCTCTCCCTGGAGTGGACTTTAATAAAGCAAACCACTTACATGTTGCTCAGTGTCTCACCAGCTGTCACTGCTCCATGACTGCTTCCCAGCCCCTGCTTCCATCTCCTTGGTGGTGCCTTTGTGCTTCAGAGGTTTCTATCTGCCTGTGTGTCTCTCCTGGCAATCTTGCTGTTGACAGGACTGTGTGAAATTGCTGAAAGAAGTAATGAATGATAAAGCTGAGATCAGAATGGACAGGAAGTTTGAAATCCTGAGTGGAAAGTTGCTGCCTGTTCTGAGCCAAGAAACAGCACTGTAGTGTTCACTAAAGGAAGGGATCTGGGAATGCTGCTCCCAGGGGCTTTAGCTGAGATGGGGCTGCGTTGTTTGTGCTGGAATTATACCAGAGCACCACAAATCTTAATTTTTGCCTTTCCCTTAATGGAAAATGAACCTATTTTAAAGGTAGGTAGCATGCTCTTCAAAGCCAATTGAAAAGGTGGAACTTGGGAAGTGTGGCTCTAATTTACTCCCAAAGTACACTTAGCACCCAGAGGTAATTTACAGCAAGCTCCTGTCTGTGCTCTTTGCACTGCCTTTACCCTGGGCTAAGGGTAGAACAGCAAGTTCCTTGTTTTTTCAGCTGTCACTGTGTTTTTCCATCTTTCAGTGATGGCAATAAAGAACAGAGTCTGCTGTCAGGGTAGGAAAAGGCACAAAC